CTATAGTACCTCAAATATAATACATTTACATACAACAGCTTCAATATACCCGCTAACATAAGTTTAATACTTTAAGCAGTGTGACTAATGCAGATTTCATTGCATTAGCCACAGTGGCTGAAGGATTTATGTGAGCAGAGCAAGCTTTGTTTAACAAACTATTAGTATAAGCTTTCAACCATACATGCAAGCTATCTATAAGTTTTGAAAAAAACAATATTACTACAATTTATCACAAAAAATGTGATCTAAACCAGACTGTGTTTTCTTTTCTTACAAACTTGGAATTTTGTAATATGCAACAAAGAGTTTTATGACTTACACTATCCATATCATCTTTTATTAGTCATTTGGAGTTGTTGGTGTTTTTTGTTTTTTTTACAAAAAATAACTTAAAAGTAATTTGTAGAATATACATCATTATTGTTTTAGGTTTGTTTGTTTTTTATATGGAATGAGCATGGATTAGTTGTCAGCATGATGGAATCTGGACCCTTGGATCATGTCCCATTGCCACAAAAAAAATGTTCCTAATTTGGGGCTGTGGATACAATATATATGATTAAGCAGCTGAAGAGTGTTGGCATTGACTGCTGCTAACTAGCTGCCTTCCCTCTATAACTATCAGTTCAGAACTAGGGACAAATATTGCCAGTATTCCTGGTGTAGCTTTGCACAAATATCCAAAACAGACATTCATATTAATTAACATTATGTTTATAATATTTGCTCATATACTTTATGTTGAGCTGTTTCCAGCACAGTTTAGTTTACACATTGCTCTTGAGCCTTTTTAAAATCATTTCACACGTTCTTTCTCCCTTACTAATTATTATGTTTCTTACACTAATTTTTTCTGCTCTCTCCCTATTTCTTATACAGTGAAAATCGTTCACACCTGTAACATTCCCAGTAATAGCCAAACTAAACACTCCTGTGTTATCATGGTGATCTGCTTTAGACACCTATGATGCCATTGAGGGTCATTAACCTCTAAAATTCACACTTCCTACTCCTTCCAAATCTATCCTTGAAGAAGCAAAACCTACTGATTGAAAGCAGTGAGGCTATAAGGATCTTATTTTATGTTAAAGTAAGAAGATATTGTTTATAACTGCAGGTTTGTTTAAACATATGTTTAATAAAATATGCTTCAACCAGTGATTATCGAACTTCCCTTTTATTTTATGTGGTATTAGCTGTTTGTTTATAGCATGATATTATTATTGTTCATTGACACTGTTACGATGGGAAAAAACTTTCTATGGGTGACAATGAAGAAAAAATACTTGTTTTACTGACAGTACATGATATTTTTTAAATAGTTGTGTAGTAATTTAATTATTACTGAATATAACAATTTATATACAGTGTTTTCAGTTTTTAATTTTGCCAGGACATCTTGAGTGGTTAGACAAACAACACCAGCGATGTTATGTTTACTGGAGGACACTGGAAGAGTGGGGAAAACTGATTTATAAATGGGTAAGGCTTATATAATACATCATAATGTCTTTTTATTTAGTGTGTTATTTTGATATATCAACTTAGAGACTGAATGTTATGGAATTCATGTTTATATTCAATATTAGAAATAATGAATAAAATGGGTGTAAAATGCAAATATTATGGGATTTCTCTCCCTCTATTGTATGAAAATGAGTTGCATCAGAGTACAGTGATGTTTTGATAATTTACACAGTTATTGATTGTCATCCAACTAATCAGCAGGTGCTATGCCAGCTTAATGCTTATAGGAATACAAGCATTCATACTGTTCCCATATAGTAGGGTGATGATGGCATTCATGGGTCCCTGGCTAGAAATTCTACTGACAAATATGTATAAATCAAAGTTTTGGTTTGTGAAGGAGGTTACTCCATTTGATAGATTGAGGCCAAAATTTGTATTTCAGTAGTTAGATGTATAAATACTCAGAAGAGTGTTTGTAAAACCAGTATTGTTGATAGAAGTTGTTGAGATAGAAAGCCAAACTATTCAAAGTTAGGTTAAGTAATTCAAGTGATGCTCTGTGTACGTGATGAACAATAATCCAGTAGAGACAGTGCTTGAAGTGGGGGGAAAGAGGAATTGGGGTGATTTGTGAAATTCTTGAACTCGAAAAAGAAAAGAGAATCTAATTGGTTTGTGTATAATTTTATATTAGGCCAACATATATCAACCTGAAATAGCCACTCTGAATTTTTATAGTTTATTAACTACATATATAATAATTGTGTAATTGCACACTTTTTTTTTTACTATAGTGGCAGGACAAAAAGTGTATTCAACATCTAGGGGGTTGTTTTTCAGTAATGGCTTAAAAAGTAGAAGATCAACCAGTTTGATAAACATGAGACTTAATGGCATGGATTATTCACAGGCACAGATTAACCCCCCACATTGGTCTACTATTGGCTTCTGCATAACCTATTCATCCTGTGCATAAATTTTAGCTTGTTTATCCTTTGTTTCAAATTAGGACAACTTTGAAAATTTTAATCAATTAGTCAGTTTGGGATTCAATTCGTGTAGCAAGGTTTGTTTGTATTAATAACAATAGTGGAGGTGACTGGCTTTTCAAATTATTTCATGTTGATTGTCGAGTAATTTTTCATTGTGTTGGATTAGCGAATTAGGCTGTTTACAGAAAGTGACAGTGGAAAAAAACTTGTACGACCCTATGTGTTACACTTTGTTTCATTTAACATAGCCCAAGGCAACTGTAAAAGTACCATAGCAAAAGATTCAATTCTGCTGAAAGGTAGTGGGGTGGTTTTGAACTCTATTGATAAGAAGTGAGATGGCATCCCACCCCACTTCAAGCACTGAGTAAAGACATTGCCAATGAATTAGCTGTAAGTGTGGGTGTGAGTTTACTCCCAGAAAAAAATGTTATAGATTTAACAATGAAATGGCCTCAGTGAATGAGTAGCTGTTTAAAAACCACTGCCTAAAAAAGAGAACTAAATGAAAAAACAGAAGTGGGCATTTTTCTTCAGACAACATTATGAGCAAATCTGTATTAGGGTGCTCTATTCAAGTAAATACAAGTGTAGGAAGCATCTCAGCCAAAGGTGCTAGAATCCACACAAAACTACCCTGAATGATAACAGGTGCAAGCAAATTCTAATCCATTATATTACTCCTTTAAGAATAAGACCTGTTTTGTAGGGATTCATTTTCCAGGAAGACAATGATCCAAAGCATCCAAAACGTGTGTTAAAGCAATACTTTGATGGAACACTCGCAAATATTGCATGACCTGCACAAGGTCCAAATACGATTATTATTAAGGCTGTATGACAGAACATTTGAGGGACAATGGGGAGCCTCTTATCCTGTCATGGCTATCGTGGTCATTTAAATCAAACATCCATCTGCCTGTATTCAGCCTTGACTCCCCAAGTACTTATCAAGCCCTCTCCTGAATTCTTCAAATCCCATTGCATTAACCACATCTGAAGGCTGAACACCTTGTTTAAAAATAAAACTAGTCTGTAGATTACTTCTACCTTGCCAAAACTTAAATATATGTCCCCTAGTCCTACCACTCTTACCTTTAAGCATGAAAAAAGATGGTTCATCAATCCTAAATATTCCCTTTATAATTTTGAAAAATTTAATTAGATCCCATCTAACCCTTTGTTTCTCCAGAGAAGTAGCTTTAAGAAACTTAACCTCTTGTCATATGATAGACACTCCATTGTAGGAATCATCATAGTAGTCTCCCTTAAATCATTTTCTTACCACTCAAATGTGAAGAGTAAACAAGAAATTCAGAACAGTATTTCCCAATCATACATTGGTGAGCTTATATTAGAATAAAAAAAAGATGTACTGCTCTCTTGCAAGCAAATGCAAAATACAAGTTCATTGTACAACTTGTTTGTATCTGCTGTATGTATATCACCTATACAGTTCCATAACTACTTCCCTGTTTTTTACTTATAATGGTGAAATTAAAAACTGGAAAACAGATTTCTCTGTTTCTACAAATACATAAAAGTAACAGTGATGTCATGTAATAATGTACTAGTTTAACTACATTTTCCTTTCAAAAGAAAAAATACATTGGAAATATTAAACTAAATATCTGTGTACCTATGAGTTTATTCTATTTAGATAAAGTTTATGAACCAATCGAAACAGTGTTTAGTTGAATTTTATTGTAGAAATATTTTGTTCATTTCGAATTAAAAACCCTTAGCGTACAATATGGAGCATAACTCCTCTCTACAAAACACAATGTTTTTGTACTCTTAACATTATTAGGGTGCTACTTTTACAATTGTGAGTAAATGTAGTATTCATAAATAAACCAAAAAGTATTCACCATTTCAAAATTTTTAGTTTCTCCTTAGTACATTGGACAAAAAAATAACTTAAAATGGCAGGCTTATATATTAAACTTTTCAGAACTCACTCTTTATCTTTTATAATTAATTTAGCTGGAAAGCTGTTAAATAATTGTGCTAAAAAATTTATATAGTATATTCCTACACTAAGCCTAAATTTAAATTCTTTGTAGTCTTCATTCTGTCCAAAATTATAATATACTTGGAGATTAAGATAGACTGTCCTTTCTTCAGAAAGTTTATTAGAATCATTTTAAGTTTTACAGTGCTACAAGTGTTTTAAGATATAATGAGCACTTACTGGATAGCATGTTGGTTGATATTCAGCCTATAATAGAAGTAGTTGACCCATTTGCTTAACTTGATAGCATAACTTGGTCCAACAAGAATCGTTTGGTCTTTCAAGGTTGTCCTTGAATACCTACTCCAGAGGAAAAGAAAAAGAAAAAATGCTCAGCTCATTCTTTATTTTTCTGGAATTCTTAAACTTCTATTTCAGTGGTTCCCAACCTTTTGTGGCCCTCGCCCCCCCCCCCCCTCCTCCAAAAAGTGTGTATTAGACATTTCCTCTTGGCAACATTTGGGGAAAAATGGACCTTGTATAGTCCTCTTCCACGCATCCCTGGTTGGGAACCCTTGTCCTATTAGTTGCTAATATCCATTACTGCTCATCGCAACTCATTCCATAAGCTAATCATACTGTTAGAAAAATAAAACTGTCTTAACTGGAGCCTATTTAATTTGTGTCCTATCTTCAAAATATAGCACAAGGAAATCAGATGCCTTTATCATATCAATTTCCCAGGTAATCATATAAACTTCAATAAGATCACCTCTTACCCTTCTCTTTTCAAGAGAAAGTATGACATCTTAACCTATTCTTAATAAGCTAACCCTTCCATTCCTGGAATCACCATAGTAGCCTTCTTCTGAGCCATTTCTAACAAGTCAAAATCCTATTTTAGATAAGGAGAAAAAAGGCTATGCATGGTATATGAAATGAGTTTTAACCAGTGATTTATAGAGTATAGAGATAATTACCTCTTTTGTCTTGTACTCAATATCTGTAAACATTCCCTAAAATTCTGTTAGCTTTACTACTATTAATAGATCACTGCCTTGAAGGCTCAAGTTTCTTATGTACCACTCTGCTAAGATCCTTCTCTTTAGTCACAATATTAAGTGGGTTTCCATCTATATGTATTACACAAGTTATGATACTCCAAATACTTTTACTTTAATTTCCCAAGTACTTTTCAAACTTGCCATTCAATCCGAGTCATTCTCTAGAACCTCAACATCCTCAGTGCAGCTAGATATACTCAAGAGTTTAATATCAACAACATATTTCAGTAATTTGCTAATTATGCTCCTGTCAGTGCCATTAATGTAAATAAGAAAACACAAATGTTTAAGTACTAACCCCTGAAGTACACCACTAGTAGCAAATGTCCAGTTGATTGGACTCCATTAAATTTGGATCAGCTAGTTTTTCCCTAACCTCTGCCAATATGATTTTCTTAGCTAATATTCCATGTAGTACCTTATAAAAAGACAAATTATCAAACGTCCTCTGAAAATCTAAGTACACAAAATCCATACCCTTTCTAGAGAACAAATAACATCTTTTAAAAATATTAACTGATTAGTAAGACAAGATTTCCCCCAGTAAAGTCATGCTGGCTCTTATTTATTATATCATATTTCATTAAATGATCTGATCCTGTAAAGTTTGTTTTTTTATTCAATTCTCTAAATTTATCTCATTACAAAAGATAGACTAAGTGGCCTATAATTTCCAGGATAACTCTTATCACTCACTTAAAAAATATATGTAACTTTAAACAATCTCCAATCCTGAGGCACTTGCCTACTGTGTGTTTGACCTACCAAAAATTAACAGAAAAGCTTGCATATTCAATCTTTGACCTTTAAAACCCTGGAAAACAATATCTGGTTCTAGTGTTTTAATCTACGACTACACATCGGTTCCAGTATCCTATCCCATAGAATTCTCAGGGTGATGAATATTGCTAACATCCTTTCTTGTAAACATAGAAAAGAAAGCATTTGGTGTTGTTTGTGAGTTTGGTTATGGTTCTAAAAGTGTTGATGTTAGATAATACATCTTCTGTGGATATGTGATACTGGAATAGAAGATTATTGTTGCAAAAAGTCTCAGCCATCAATGGATTATTCATATTAACATTTGATACCTGATGTGATCTTAGTGGCAACTAGCTATTTTACAATTTTTTAGTTGCACCTGAAAAGAAACTGATGTAACTGTGTTTGTAATCTAACCAGAGATCCAACATTAGCCTGAATAAAAAGTAAGATTACACCATCAGAACCATGTAATGGGCTTTCAGTTAGTCACTAAACACTCTTGGGGAAAATTTTCAAGATAGAGCATAAAGCAAGGTACTAGTTTTCATGTTTCCTTATAGTTAAGTTATAGTGCATGAAGCAAGGTACTATTTTCATGTTTTTTAGTTAAGTTATAGTGCATGAAGCAAGGTACTAGTTTTCATGTTTTTTATAGTTAAGTGATAGTGCATGAAGCAAGGTACTAGTTTCATGTTTTTTATAGTTAAGTTATAGTGCATGAAGCAAGGTACTATTTTCATGTTTTTTTAGTTAAGTTATAGTGCATGAAGCAAGGTACTAGTTTTCATGTTTTTCATAGTTAAGTGATAGTGCATGAAGCAAGGTACTAGTTTTCATGTTTTTTTTATAGTTAAGTAATAGTGCATGAAGCAAGGTACTAGTTTTCATGTTTTTTCATAGTTAAGTTATAGTGCATGAAGCAAGGTACTAGTTTTCATGTTTTATATAGTTAAGTGATAGTGCATAAAGCAAGGTATTAGTTTTCATGTAAAGTTTCTGCCTATATTATACATGTTTTCTCTTCTGTGTCTTGCTCCTCTTGTACTCCCCTTTTTTACATTTTTTACAATGCAGTACAAAGTTAGGACTAATTTCACAGCATTTATTAGGACTGCAGCCAGTTAAACATTATATTCACAAATAAACCAAGTACTATTTATCATTTAGAAATTATCCTTAATATCATTTTACAACATTGTTCAAAACAAAAACTATTGTTTGTGCACATTTGACTCAGTACTCACTTAGAATATATATTATAACTGACTAACTTTTTTATAGTAATTTCAATACAATAACATGTGGTCTTGGTGATAAATGCAGTGATTAGATAGCTTGTTACTTTAGCATTAATGATTTTTTTTAAAACAGGCTGTTCTTTTAGTACACACTGAGCTCGTATATTTTCATGTTTTTTTTTTTTCAAATATTGTAGGCATCCAAGAATGGAATGGTGAATACTGTGTGTACCCTGTATGAACTGACCAATGGGGATGACACACGAGATGAAGGTTAAGATTATTTATCATCAAGTGAATTGATTATAAAAAAAATTATTAAAAGTATATTTATTAAAAGGTTGCAGTGATTGATCGGTGTATTTAAGTTGTTTGATATTTACCTGGCATACCTTTAAGTGATGACACAAGAGTTACTAATCTAAAAAATACATTGAAATAAATGTGACATATATATTTATCTGAATAAATAATGTAAAAAGATGATGTATCTTACCAAACATTATGTGAAGTAGTTGCTAATTTTTTGAACTAGTAAAGTAATAATTTAGTTGTAAACAGTCTATTACATAGTTTGTAACATAATATTTTTACCTTCTTCATACTTATTGGGAAAAAAAAGGTTTTCATAACTGTCTTCCATTAATTAGATTGTGTAAACTTTAAGTACTTTGTATTTTTTTTTAATTAAGAACAAAAATTGATTTTTACAGAATTCCATGGTCTTGAGATGGATGTATTAAAAAAAGCCTTACAGGCTCTAGAGAATGAAGGCAGGGCAGAGCTGATTTTCTTTGATGAAAATGAAGGAGTCAAGTTTTTCTAGCTCATCAAGATCAAAGCTTTAATTCCATTGCTTCTAATCTTTAAGTAAGTGATTTTCCCGATGAGTATTTGTTTTGTCAGGGAAATCCTTATTTTGAAAGTTGCCACAATGTAATCTAACTTGTGACATGATTTCTCAACAAGAGAGAAAGGTTCTGTGTCCAAAATCAGCACGTTTACAACACTGATCTGTCCTGTCATTAAAGTATGTGCTGTTGATAAAATTATATTTAATGTTTTGTAAATATTTGAAATAAACACTATAATTGTAAACATTTATTGTGAGGCTAGTTTTAGGACAAAAAGAATTACCTTTGATAGTTGGTTTCCCATAGAAGCTTCTGACTGACAATTTCCCAGAGATCTAAAATGTTAACCTAATGTTTCAAAATTATTAAAATTACATAGGACTTTGCATTCATTACTTTCTCATCTTCTTGAATTATGTACCAGTATGTTGCTACTTGTTTTGTTAAAATGTAACTATTTATTTTCACTTTTAACTGATTAAGTAAATTAGTAGTCCCAGATATTTAATTGATCATTATTTATAATTCAAGGTTAAAACCATTTGAAACAAAACACTGTTATTATTTAACAACAAAATAAAAAACATTAGATTTTTCTTTATCCTCTTAAACTGACTTTTAAAGCAAAGCATAATATGCATGTAATTTAGACATAGCCAGTATTGTGGCATTCCACTTGCTCAACCTATTGAAATAAATCAGATTGTAGTCTAATATCTTTGTCTTGCACAGATTTCACATTTACAACATACAGTATTTGAAATATTTATGGAAAGGGTGATGAAAAAGGATATAAATGGCAAATACTACACTTTGTCATGTTAAAATGAACTGCACCACAGTATAGTCACAGCTAATACTTTGCACAGTGATTGGATGTCATTCAACCAATCAGAAAGTGCTACATTAGTATAAGCTTATAAAAGTACAGGCAATCTTGCTATGACCAGCAATAGTAGTGTGATTTCATACATGGCTATGGGAACTGAAATTACTACATGACAATCATGTAGAAATGAAAGTTTTTGCTGATCAAGGATATGCCACTCAAAAAAATATTGACAATAACAATACTCTATGTTTGAGAAGGAATAGTATACAAGACTGAAGAGGGTGCATAAAACTGACACTCAATAAAAACTCAAGATAAAGAACAGAAACTAACTAAAATGATAACATAGAGACAACAAAAGCCATTTTTTCTTCAATTCTGTCTTTGCACAACCACCCTTGTGAAGTGTCAAAAATTTAAACCCAGGAAATTATTGATTCATTTCTTAAACTCTAATAAAATACTGACCACCACTACTTCTGACAGCAACTCTTTCCATGTCAGTCCCCCTGTTGAAAAAAATAAAACTGTCTTAAAGTTGGGCCTAACATGTCTTTTTCTAAATTTTAACCTTGTTTCCTCTGGTCCAGTTGTGGTACATTGGCTTACTGTGCATTTTCTACCTTCTTGTTTTAATGTAGAATTCTTCAGTATTTTTCATTCCTTGAAGGTATATGTTTTTGTATAACAGGTGGTCAAGAATGTTGTTAAGTTGATTTGATTCTAATTACCTTTGTTCTTTGTCATTCCCTTGGAGATAACACCTGGCCTTCCCATGGGTATTATAGTAGTAAAGCTGCACCTTGTGCATAAAGGTCAACAGCATTGTCCTTCAATGGTAGGTCAGTAGATATCTTGAGGTTACAGCCTCCCTTATATTTGATGGAGAAATGACCAGTCAGGTGGATAACGCTAGTTGCTCTGGGTAAGTGAAATGTTACCAATTCAACTAATTAACATGGAAGTTTAGGCAGTCTGGAACATCATCTTGAGTGAGTCATTCAGTTTGGAAATACGTTTTGAGGGAGTAGAATCACCCTGATCAATTCACCACTGCAATACAGGCAACTGTTCAACATTTAATACGAGTACACACACACACACTGTGTTTGTATTTGAAAATTATTTTCATTGTGTATGACACTTTGCATCCAGTCTGTTTATTCCTTAACATAGACTATTAGTTTTAGCAATGCAATTACAGAAACAAACAAATCAACATTTAAACATAAGCAGGTACCAAAAAGCAACAATAATACAAAATATAATTATAGCTAAATGTAAATAATAAAAACCATTAAAATTACTAAATGTCTTTGTAGATAAACTTAAATGTGATACAAAATAAAACTCTGAAATTAAATTATGCATAAAGAGACACTTCAAAAAATAATAAAACTTTAAGCACTGTTTGATTGATGTATGCACATTTACACTGTAGCAAATGTTCTGGAAAACTGATGGAGCCCAAGTCAGGCCTAGACACTGTCTTTGGAGAGTACAATAAAATGCTTGTACCCAAAAAATTAGTGGTCAGCCCAACTATCTTAGAGTTGGGTGAAATTTGGTACATATGTGTGAAGGCAAAAAGGTGAAAATTCTTGGTTGAGACAGGAGCAGTCAGAACACTGGCAGGCCTCGAAGGATATCAAGCCCTCCAAGTGAAATATTGACTTTGTTCTTACAAATGATGATGATAGTCTAGCTGTAAGGGTAGAGGTTGTTCTCCAACTCTGTCTAGGAAATATTGCTTACAGAACAAAGGTAGTCATCTCCAACATTGGATCTGGTATTGACATCCTTAGGATGGCTGTATTACAGAAGTTATCTTCCATTTTCACATTTTTAATAGTTGAACTAATGTTCCATGAAAAGAATTTCAATAATGGCCAGATCAAGCATTGCAACAGTGAATTGCACAGGTGTATGCAGTTGAGGGAATAATAGCACTTCCATGTACACAAGTGGTGTTCCATGATTTACTCCAGAAAGCAGACATCATTAGTTTGGAATGTTATGAGTTCAACGAGGAGTGTCTATATTGTATTGTTTTTATTGGAAATTGGCTATCCAGCTGTATGCTGGAATGTTGCAACCACAGTAAGAAAAGTGGAAGCAACTAATTCCAGTGGTAATGCAACAAAAGTATCTCATTGATTTGTTGGTCAAATATACTGATATATTTGTGGAACCATGACTTTCTTAAGGTAGCTAAATGCCTTGTCATCTAATTAGTGACGTGCATGAATGGATTAATGTCCCTATCAACTATCTAGTGAAACCACAGCCAAGATAGATAGAAGTTATGCATGATGGATAAAGCAGCTACTACAACAGCTTCTATGGAATATTAATCACATCAATAATTCTCAAATACAGCCTTTGAAGAGTGATTGGTCATTTCCAGTAGTGAATGTTAGAAAGAGGGGAAATACATCATGATCGTGTGATTTTAGACAGATGAACAGGTAAGTGATATTGATGCCTTTCTTTTATCGTGGTCAGGTTAATGCCTGGATGTGTTAGTAGGTTCCAATTGGTTTGACTCTGGATCTGGAATCTGTATACTGACAAGTTAGGCTGAATGACGAGAGCAGACATAAAACTACTTTTAACATGAGAAGTAACTTGTATGATTTCTATGTCATGCCATATAGCCTTTTTAATACACCCACCATTTTCCAATTGCTAATGGAGTTGCAATGAAGGGACTGCAATGGGAGAGATGAGGTCTGTGTTGATGTTGTTTGGTCACACATTTGAGACTATGGCTGAGAACCTGAAAATGGTATTCCAGCAGGCTTGAAATCGAAATCCCGAAAATGCTTGCTCGTATGCACAGATATGGAGTTTCTTGGTCACAATATAAGTATCGAATTCAGTTAAGATGGCCATGGTGAGATAGTGGCTTCAACTTATGACCATTCAAAAATTTTCAGTTCCTCAGTTTGTGCCATATTACCAACAATTTTTGGTCAATTTCTTCAAGACAGCAGTGCCATCGCCAGTTCTCACGAAAATTGAGATGAACTTTGGATGGAGTGAGGAATGTGGCCAATCTTTCTGATCCCTAAAGCTTGCTTTAGTAAATGCTCCAGTGCTGACATATTCACAACAAGAAAGTGAGACACTGACACCAGTGACAGTGAAATAGGGGCAGTGTTGTCATAGTTTCCGGATGAAGTAGAACATGTAATTGTGTATACTAAATGTGCACTCATGGCTCTCGAATACAGAATGACAAAAAAAAAGAACTGCTTATAGTTGTGGACTTCATGACACACTATCACAACTACATGTATGGAAAGAGTTTCACCATCCAGGTGAACCACGCAAATAAACTTTTAAAATCTGTTAGGGATAGGAGCATATTGAATAACAATATTGCAAGAATATGATTTTGTCATAATGCATTGCCTGAAACTTCAACTTGGAAACGTGAGAGCTTGTCTATTTATGGAATATCCTGATCCTAGATACTGTGTGAGAGTTGAGACCTTATATAACCATTTCTGCCATCAAGTAGGAGATTTAGCTAGTGGATGGATGCTGCAATTAACACTTTGGAATATCTGGGAAGAGGAGGCTGTAAATGTACTAGGAGGCGGTGGAAAGTAACTCCATGATGAAAACTAGTACAAAATTTGAGAGGAAGTCCCTAAGGAAAGACAATGGAAGCATTGGTCTAATAGCAAAAATAATGGTTGGAGTCACATAACTCGAGTGTGTAGGAACTTGTTGCTTTCTCAATATTCATTCATTCCTTTTGGAATTGGACACTGTCTACATGAGAACCACAGAGTACTAAGTAGAATAAGGTTGAGTCAGAAAGTATAGTAACTGTTTCAATTGGTAGGGACAGCAGATGGTAGTATGGCTACAGGTAATTGGTCAATGGATTAGGAAATTCTTAAGTTCTTCAAATCAAGCCTGCATTAAGGTAGCTTGAAGTCCCTTGAATAGGGTACAAGCAAATTTGAAGTTAATTATAATTAATACATATTAAATTAATTGCAGAATATGAGCTAATTATTCGAAGAAATTTAGAATATGGTGCATCTAACTTTTAAGGATGATATATTAAAAGTAAACGATTATAAAAAATAAGTATTTACTTGTACAACATGGCAAGTAAGAATGAATTAGGTACATAAAAACAATATAGTGTTGCGTCAGCGAGGTCACGTGACTAGTGTCACGCCATCTGCTTTCTAGGAATATCCTGTTCCTTCGTGAATGCCCTAGCATTTACTAGATTGGGGGTAGCTGGTATATATAGGATGGTCACAACGTGACGGGACAATGTGTGTAGGTAGTGAGTAATTGAACTGCAGTCAGAAAGTATTGTTCGTTGTTATAGAGCGACTGTTGAAAATAAGTGTATCGGTAAAGTTATATTCAGAAGGAATAAACCAATTTTATTAAGAAAGGACTTGTGTCGCTAAAGTTTAGTCGGAAAGAAGTTACGGAAAATTAATTAACGACTGAAGGCGTAACAATAGTTATTGTACAATATTATGGAAGCATGCCAAAACCTTACTTTAAAATAGCTTTTTCCTTGCTTTGGCGGAAGCAAAATCTCTAATTACATCTTCATAATCTATTTGCCTGAGCAATGTCCTTTTTATTGTGAGCAAGGAAATGGCATTTAAGCGTTCATTTAACATTGAAGCACGCAATTAATTTTTTACTCTAGCCATTTTAGAAAATACTCTTTCTGCACTGCAATTCGTGGAGAGTAGGCACAAGTATATTCTTAATTCCCCGTCAACAATAGGAAAAACAGATTCGAGTTTGTTTTTTCTGATTGCTTTGATGCATTGTTTGGCGGATGGGGTTTCACTATAAAAAAAATTATCAAACTGTACCATTTCATTGGGAA